ACAAATCAAGAGAGGATCTGCCTGTCTTGTATACAAAACATAACTGGAAAAGACAGAGTTACAAATTTATAGGGGATGGAAATCCTAACTTAACACGGTACAATACTGTCATGATACGTTGCCAACAACTATTCATTATGTGTTTCAAAACAGTTACCTACAATAGATCAAACATGTATACATACTGTATCTTGCATTCATTTAATGCATTGGATGACATGCTTTCAATTTCAAGAGTTGTACAGCATCTTGGTTTTAACACACAACCACTAACATGTTCACTATGTGTGCCATCATTTCAAAGACAAACTAAACAAACAATACAACAAAAACAGCATTTTTAGTTAAAATGTCTGGAGCAAAGACAAGACATACCTCTGGCTAAGTACAGAAAACAAAGTGATACTGGTGCCAATTTATCAATATTGTATCACAAGCAACCGCATAGTATTTGGCCCTAAGTGACTGAAAACCTGAGTGAAAAGTTGTCTAAATCACTGACCTTAAGTGTTTCCTCTATGATAATAAATGTTTGTGACTAAATAAGAAATAATCGAGATTTAAGCCATTTAATCAAAAACTCATCGTATCCTCCTGGCACCAGAAACAAAGAGACTGTCATCAAAATCTGATTCTCGTATTGCTCAATTCTGATTGGTGCATAGAAATATTCAGCAAATACACAGCCCGCCTACACAGTAAACCACATACTGCGAACTACACCGTGAGCACTGGAAAACAGTTTACCCATCTTGACACTCACACTGTTACCATAATCTGTGCTCTCATCAACCGATGGATTATCACAGTTTGGGGGCAGTGGACCTGTCTGTCTGCTGCCCACAGCTGCACACAGCTGTCCTAACATGGCCGCTCCGCTTTGCAGAGAAACCGTTGGCCTAGGAAGTCACAGCTCATCACACACAGACATTGACACATAGGCGGAAGGAGGGAATTCAGTGCGTGCATGTGTGTCTGTGATCGGTCAAGCGGTTTTGTTTGTGCTCATCAAAGCCCCATGGGCAGAGTGAGAGAGGAGTGAGAGGATGGGTGGCGGTCAGGCCAATGGGATATCATCTCCCTTGGGTGGGATCCAGGTCTTTGCAGGCCTGGATGAGGAGAGGAGGAAATTAAACCACTAGCTTTTGTTGCGGGTTTAAGGATCACAGAAGAAGACGAAGGAAGAATTGAGGGGCACCTTATATAAGAAGTCACTCAGTTTGTGTGTGTGTGTGTGTGGTCACGCTGGGTGGAGTAGGTTCATCCACATTTCAGAAAACGATATCATCTTCCCAACCTCCGCTTGACCTTGATAAATCTGTGCCTTTGTAACTCAAACCACTGGAGACATTTCTTTCTCACCTCTGAGAAAGAAATGCACTGTTGCCACTGATGCTGTCTTTCCGGTATGGCCGGCACTTTTGCGTCTGTGTGAAAACTGCAGCAAGCTTTGCTTCCTTGCTATCCATCACCGATTTCACATCCACTCCACTTGTTTTCTTGTTGTTTTTCCTCAAAGCAGATTAATTATACCTCCTCAGGACACCGAATGACAAACAATGAACTTGTTATTTTTGTTGTGTTCCATTTTAATTTTCTGCTATTTATATTAGCAGTGAATGACTGCATTCCTCTTGACATCCTGAATTAGATTATGACAGAGTCTTCAATCATCTTTTTTTCAGCGCTACATTTATTTGCCAGAAATTCATGCTCAGCCCGGTCTGTTTTGTGACAGCATCTCGTATCTTCTCCCTTGAAATGATATATTCACAAGAGCCATCGCCACTCAAATCTCACTCACAACATCTGAATAACATATGAGGAGTTTCATTCCAAAAATCCATCTCAAAGTGTGATGTCTCACAAACTGACAGTCAGCACCAACGATCATTCTATCTCTCTCGTCTTATTTCTGTTTCAGCAGCTAAGGGACGACCTTCAAAGTAATTTATAATTAGGCCTACACAAACTGGAATAAAACTATCTAGGCCTACCAATAAGAAAGCAACTGTCACGTAATCCCCTGCTAATAAGGACAGTAAGTTCCAAACTAAATTCCCTATGACCCTGGAATGACCCAAAACATAATTTTCATAAGCAAAGGAAAACAGTCTACCTCATGCTGCTTCTTATAACCCTGCAACAGTATGCACCAGGAGTTGGCATTATAAAAACATGCACAATATGTGATGCCGAACAAATCCAGCAATCATGGATACATCAAAGGCAATATGATGGCATCTAATCCCAGAAACACACTAACCTCCAAAGTGCATTGAAATTAGTCAATGAAATAACACATTCGCTGTATGCCAGGAGTGACAAAGTGAACAAGCAACTAAAAACTGATAAATTCAACAAGAGTCATTAAGGTATATTCAAGTGAAACCATGGCAACATGCGCCACAGGTTTCATTTGACAGATATACATTGTAAAAATCATTCTGGACATATTTTTAAAACTTAACGGATACTAAAAAACATTTTAAAGAAATATAAAATGACTCACATCATCGAGACATTTGGTGAAATATATATACCCTATGTGCATAATAACAACATTAAGCCACTAAACCACTGATAGCACCAACTAACGGCGTAACAATCAGTTATTACTGGCTATATTGTCTCCATAATCATAACCATCAATATCGCGCAAGATAGTAGCATGTTGTTATGACAGAACCCCCTAACTTCCGTTAGCAGTGGATGATTTGCTTTGCAATTATGGCTATAGCCTATAATTGCCATCTCGTTAAGGTTATGTGGCGCTGCAGGTGATTGTACCTTGTGGATGATTCACAGGCTCTCAGCGTCCGTGTGAGGAAACTCAAATGAAGAGAAGAAATTAGCTGCGCTCAAAGACTTTTCATTTAGCCTACCGTTCCTTATAAAACTGGTGCGCCAAGTTTTGCATTCGCTTCTTTGAAGTTTTGCAGCACCTGACAGCCACGCTGGTGTACACTCTGTCTGAGGCGGCACTAACACTCCTGGACACTTTGCTAAATAAAAAGCGCAATAATCCATGTAATAGTTAGTACTCACAATGGCACATACTGGTGTTCTGAATCATGTCTGAGAATGCACCGACTTCCAAAAAGAATAGCAAAATATCCTACCTTTTTGCCCTTAGTCCGGATTGAAGGCTAATGTGAGATGTTTATTCCGTCTGTATGAAAAGTTTATTTTTATTCCTCCGCGGACTACAGAGAGCCATGCCTCCAGACAATCCTCAGATCCATCGCCTGTTCTGCTGCGCAGCCTTCATGCTCTCTCTCTCTCTCTCTTTCACACACACACACACACGCACACTCAACTCGCCTGTTCGCTTCAGCAGGCACCTACAAGTAAACTGAGCCCCTCAGCGGTGACATCACGAGTCACTATGGCAACTCTGACTCCACCCCAGTCCGGAGCTGAACTTACCTGTCTGACTACCTCAGTTTCAACAACAACTGCTGCTTTGCTTTTTCCTGCACTGGACAATAACAGCAGATGGCCATATACTTTTAATACATTAGTAGATAATATAATGCACTACCATAAGCACACATGTACCCCCCAAACACACACACACAACCAAGTTGCTTGGAGTAACATGACACCATAAACTCTACTGACTGATATTACCCATGCAAATTCACAGTTCAGAGCAGTGGCTTGAAACAGCAGCTCATGAAAAGGGTTTACTTTGCATGTATGCAGGCTGTGTGGGCTAGTCTGAAAACAGAACACAAAATCCCTCTTGCACAATGCCTCGTACCATTGCCTGGAGCTCCCCTGTGGCTCGGTGCCAGTCTCACCATTACCTCGATTGTTTTGGCTACAAAGCCAGATTGCCCCTCCCTTTTGTCTCCTCTGACCCGGAGCAAACGAACAGACAATGACCAGGTGAACCAAATGTCCACCTATAGTGTAGTATGCGCTGCCCCCCAACCCCACCTCACCCCACCCCACCCATCAACTCACTTGACTTATAAAAAAACTGAGGCACAGTTTATAACCAGTAAAAGCTCCAAAACAACTGAGACATATATACCTTATACATCACACTGTAGTCTGGAATACACAAACCAGTCTGAATGAGCAGGCTTTGCAGTGTATGGATAATTCAAAGTGTTGTGGTGGTTCACATGTTTTCTAAAAACACCACCTCACTGTTTCACAGCAGCTGTGGGAGGGCATTGTGACAGGCAGATTTATAGCATAGACTTCACGTTTAACCTGCGGCAAAATCAAAAAAAGGAAGGAAATAGTTTTGCAGTTGCACTGTTGTCTCAGTCTGCAAAGGATAATAACTCCAAGAGCGGACAAAAGCATTTACATGAGACTCTGTCAGCACAAAAACATGATTGTTTATCTGTCATCCCTGTTTTAAGACACCCACCATTACACGTATAAACAACAAGTTGTCATCTTATAGTTAGTATAGGTCTTAAATATATAAATAGATTTTTTGGCCACTCTGGAGCCGATGAAAAAACTAAAAAAATCTCTGACATATTATCACCTTATGAAGTCAACAGGGATAACATTTTAGTTGTTTGTAAACACATCCAGTCGAATTACAGCAACATTAGCATTAATTTGGAGTTGTGTTTCTGTAGAAGCTGGCTTCTAACTTTGGCAACTGTTTGGTGCATGGCAGGTAGCATAGATGTTTTTAAAAAAAGTTTATTAGATGTTGAAATGGCTGCCTCCTGCTGGCAACAAGGTGGGTAAGATTGCAGGTTGGAAAACAAAACAATTGCGCTGAAAGACGCTGAAATGTTCCTTTGAGCTGAGGCAAACTGCAGAATTCAGGAATTCTAATTAGGTGGGTTTTTCACATCATTTGATCCATTTTAATATAATGATTAGTGCAGCTTTGACATTAACTTACTGTAATATCTTAAATAAAACTAAACCATGATAGATTTGTAATGCAGATCATCCTAACAATGTGAGCCCAATCAAACAATAACATTGCGCACCAAGGCGTCTCTCAAGCCACTGACCTGCTCTCGCAGCCTTTCCTGGTGGCCCATGATCGCTGAGGCATGATGGGGGTATTTCTGCTTCAGATGCTCCAGGAAGGCCTCCCTCTTCTTGTCCATGTCTGGCGGCTGCATGGCCAGAATTTCTCGGGAGCCGCGAGCTCCCCCTAACGTGTGTCTTCGAGGGACAGTGCGGCTGCCTTTGGCGTCCCCTCTTGAAGTCCCATTTGGAGAGGCCTGTCTGCGGCTTACATGCTCGATGTCCTCTGGGGAGGTTACCTTCAGGTTGCTTTTGGTTTGTTCTGAGGGGACAGAGGGGACACAGAGACAAGGTTCAATACACATGCACATATGCTGTGCTGATCTTTTGACAGCAACAATAAGTGTGTGCATGTTATTCTTCCATAGGTCATGAAGAAGGCATGTCAGGGCAAATTCAGCTATCCGAGACCTAAACATCACCAATATCAAAGAAATTAAGGCCATAAGCTCTGCTCTTTTACAAAAACTTACTCTGTTTGAGAAAGTAAATAAAATAGAAACCTGACTGACTTCATGCACAAAAGGATATTAACATTCTTTCCAGAAGCAACGCTGAAATAAACATCTCCTGATATCCAGTCAGCCAAGTTCATTACATATTCATGCTGTTTTACATTCCAGCAATAAACCGACAATTTAATGTGACAGACACAATATTGGTGATGAAAACACTGAATTGAAACATCTGTTCAGGCTTCTTTCCTTTAAAAAAAAGCAGAGGATATCCATTCATGTAACAAGGCACAAATGGAGAAAGTTGGAAGCGATATCCAGAGCATCTGTTTGCACACCCAAAGCGAAATTTCGAGATGGAGCAGAAACTGTTAGATGCAATACGTTTAGTAGAAGGGTGACATTTTATTTGATGATTGTTTGATGGATGTCTAGTTTGCTTACAGCATTATAGCTACAGTAAAATTACAGTACGCACGTTTGCATGTTTCTAATTGAAGGTATACTTTTCAAGAAGGCCTGAGCCATGCTTATACTGTAATTGGCAATTTCCCCCATTTATCACACATGAAATATACTTTCTAAAACCAAAAGGTGACGTTAAAGGTGAACATTTGATTTTAGGGCAGAATGGAGATTAAATAAATACAACCTCCTTAGGCACATAAACATATTTGCACTCGGTTATCTTGTCTGAAATCAATCAGGGCCTGGGGAATACAATTGTAATCTATCAACCTGAAAGCTATTCCATGACACTTCAGGAGAAGAGAAGAGAAGAGAGAATATGGATGGCGCAATGGAAGAGAGCTGCTGGAGTGTGAAAACAGAGAGGAATGAAGCAATAAAGCAAGCTGATCTGCAGCCTTGTTTTCTAGACAGGAAGGGAGAGCTATAATGCGTACCTTTCAGAGGGTAATGGTTAAATAAAGGACCTCTTATGGAGTTCTGCTCTTCAACTGTTGAGGGAGGATATTTCTACTATTGTGAGCCACAGATGAAAGAGGAATTTCTTGTTTGCCTCTCAAAGACATGTTAGGACTGAGACAGAGGTAGCTTCACAGATTAAACTAGTGCGACTTCGGAGAGAAAAAAACCCCATATGCTTAGTAGCTGCAATGATTCAGCTTTTATTTCTTTTCCTGTGCCATGATATTTTCTTCTACTAAATTTCTCCTTTCTGTCTTTCAACTGACCGTTTTTGTCGGTTTCATTTCCACCTGCAGATCTTTCGAAAAAAACCACAAAACTGCTTTGATCAGTAAACACAAAAAGGAGGCATTATTTTTGAGAAATACCAAGTGGTGGTGCGTCACGATCTTGCCCCGTCACCAGCACCATGCATGAGCCCATGCCCCCACCCTGCTCCAGTTCAGAGCTGCAGTAGTCTCATGTACTTTCAATCCTATTTTTAACTCCCAAACACAGTTCCCCACTGCTAACCAAATTACACTCAGCAGACAGAATAGACACAAACCTCCAAAAGGATCTGAATTAATTTGCGGGTGGCATGTCGGCAAGCTCATTACCTTCCCCAGGTGAACAATCTTTGTCTTCATTGTCTGCTATTTCTTCTTCCATTGCACCTTGGAATCAACACACACACGCACATACACACAGTGACGGAGAAAGAGTGAGGCTGGGAGAATCGGCTAACTTGCTTGCTTAGAGATTCCAGACTTAACTCACGTGGAAAAGGGGGCTTGAGATAGGCCCTGCCCCACGGCCCCAGGATAGACTGGTGGGGATTTAGAAAGTCAACTGCATTCCAGGACATAGGGCGACTAGCCCCTCACCCTCAGGCTAAAAGCTTTTCTGCTATCATGGAGAGGTCATAGACTAAATGTAAATATGTGTGAGGGAGACCAAGAGCATGGAGAGCATTCAGAAAATAGATACTTACAAGAAACACTTTCTCTCCTGTTAAAAAATGGACCCTGAGACTAACAGGTGTCAGGCTAACTGTCTGACACACACACACACACACACACACACACACACACACACACACACACACACACACACAGAGTCTGTTCTTTATCAGGACTTTGTCTGCAATCTGTCTCTTGTTTAACTCTCCAGGGCCCACCAGACTCTACTATGCATCCAAATGTGTCATAACCTACTTCTGAGCCACATCCAAACAGCTCTCAGCGCATGGCAGGCTGCTCATATGTGATCGAGTTATCTGATCAACACGACAGACCGAGACAAGCGTCTGTCCTGCGGGCAGTGTTGTTTCCAATTAGGAACCACATAGGAGACACGACATTCTTTGTTCGTTTGCTCTTACTCTGGGGTCTATGAAAAGCAACACTGTTGTGTTTGCCTGAAGTCAGCAAACATGCTATATTGCCAAACATGTCATTATGTTCGTGTCTATAGCTGACATATGTGTGTTTATGTAAAGGAAGGGGGGGATGGGCCATGATTCTGCATGAGAATATTTCTTTGCAGCTGCTGATGTAAGTGACTTGATCTAAATGTGCAAGAAGAAGGCTCAAATTGACGTACCTTAACAGGAAAACGTGAGGGGATCAATGGCCTAGTTTGTGGACCATGTAATTGAATGCGGTGGGGTGAGCGCATGAACAAACACAATGCAGCAGCTGACGGATAATGTCTAACATATGGAGATACGTCTGCATCCTCCCACTTTCTGTCTGCTTTCACCCACTCACATGCTCAAGCCACAATATGCAGACAGTTAGCAGGGCAAAAGAGAGTGATCATGTCATTTAAGTTCACGGTGGAGTTAGCTTCACACTATGCTAATACTATTTACACTTTATCAGTAATGTTTATTCAATTCCAAGAGTTGTTATGTTGTCATCCTCAAGCTGCCTCATGTACTTCTGCATTGAAGTGTGATTTTCTCAACCTCCACAAACAGGCTTGAACATGATGCGTTCAGCAATTTTCTATATGAGCACATGATGAGAGTCACAGCTCCTTGCACAGAAAAATTATATAAATCTTTCTAAAAGACTTCCTTGTCCTGGTATAATTGCTGAAAGCAGGCAAAATAGTCCAGAGAGTCCAGAAACAAGACCTTACCTAACCCACAACTTCAGGTGAATATTTATGCTATAAAACTCCACAAAACAGTGAAGGCTCTTTGAAAATACCTATACTGTGTTATATTGACTGACAAACAACAACAAAATGAGCGCAAAGTCATCAATAACAATGTTTTATTGTTGATTTTTTTGTCATTTGGCAAACTTACAACTATCCTTAAATATTTTATGATGTTTCAGTGGAAATGACATTTGGCACAAGGTGAAGCTAAAGTTTTATATGCTTTTGCTTGAAAATTTCCAAGATTGACTCAAAGAGTGTCAGATATGGTCTGAAATCAGAAGCAGTTAGTGTCAGTGTTTCTGTGTCAAAATTCTTCTGTCCTGACAATGACACATACGTCATCACAACCCACCAACAGGTCGGCCTTTGCCAAACCTACAGTCATAATTAAAGCAGCTCTTCCAAACCAACAATTACATCCTGTGGTGTGAACCACCTGCCCCGCTGCACTTTTACTGTCAGCATTCCAGACCAAAAAAACCCCCTCTTTCTTGTAGAGTGGAATCTGCAAGTGAATTGTGTCTCGCTCCAATAACTCAAGAATGTTGCTCTCTCTTTCACAACTGCCAGTGTTGAGTCAATGACGGTCCTCACTTGAAAGACAACATTAAACACTTGCCCATGAACACCCAGGTCTTATGAGGAGAGGGGCCTCCTGCTGTTTGCAGTTTTGGTTGTCACTTATTTATGGAGGAATGTATCCCTGTGCACACTCCCACTCTCCACTACTATTACTGTCCCATAACTATGCAGTACGATACAAAGCCCTGTTGTGTGCAATAAAAGCAGGGCTCACATAGCAAAACCCTGAAGCCATGCACAGTGTGTACACATAACAGCACTGGTCCACTGTTGAGTATCTGATGGTATTTTTATGATGTAGAGTTATCAGTCGGGATATCAGATGATCTGTTCATGTGGAACTGAGCCTAGTGTACAAAAAGGATCTTATTTAAATATGATTAGAATAAATTAAACTTTTAATACACTGCGATAATATCAATTTGAACAAGTCATTTGGACTATTACTGAGACTTAAAATCTTGTCTGAAAAATACTGCCAGTGAGCTGAAATAATAATGACCCATTACAAGATTTTTACCCATGCTAGCAGTGGGCAGTCCACCACTTTGGTCCAAACTGAAATATCTTCACAAATGTTGGAATGCCTTGAAATTTTGTACAGACATTCATGGTTCTGAGACAATTAATTCTAATGACTGCTGGGATTCCCTGACTTTTCCTCTAGCACCACCATGAGGTTGACACTTATTTGAATGAAATGTCTTGATAACTATTGGATGTAATGTAGAGCTGGAAATCAAATTACTTTTAATTTTTTTTTCAGTTCGCTTTAAAGATTCGTAGTCACTGACTACATAATTTCTACGTTTTTTCAAAACTAAGCAATCGCGTTAATATTTCAATGCGCTTCAGAACATACATCGGTAAACGAACACATCACAGTTCATATCACTGCGATGGTCTCTATTTCAGTGGTACATCCAGTTGAATGTTCACTTCAGCAATATTAGCAAATGTTAGCATGCTAACACTCTAAATCAAGATTGTGAACATGGTAAAGGTTATTCCTGCTAAAATCAGCATGTTAGCATTGTCATTGTAAGGATGCAGGCAAGACGGCAGCACATCCCCATAAAGCTGCTATAGTGGCGCTATTATCCAAAGCAACTTATAATAAGTGCATTTCAACCATGTGGAT